CCCCCCCCCCCCCCCCCCCCCTGCAACAGTAGCACTAAAACAAGTCACTGCAATGATCAAAAGGCTCGGGATTGGAAATATATCATCAAGTCACAAGGTATCACACACATACAAGGCAATAAAATCGTACATTTGATGAAAGCAGCTCAGAAACTTCTTCAGTTTGTTACAGTAGTGACCAGCACACTGTGTTTTGATGTGTTCAAGCTTTGGTCAAAAGCTTGTTGTGGTTGTTGTCGTGTTGGCTGTAAAGCTGAAGGAGTCGATTTGAACACTTTATTTTGCAAGAAAAGACTGTACAGTTGTTACACATTTGAACAAAGACACGTTACTCTATAGGTCTAACAGCGAGCGGTTAAAGAAATGGACAACAGGGACGATCGTCACTCTGCCACAGAAAATGCCATTTCAGATTTGAAACACTTAAAAGCTGTGAATCCATTTACCTCCATTTCATTTGGATAAAGATGTTATTTTAATTTTTTTTTATCTTGAGCATGAATCAGCTGTCATTTCTCAAAATGTCTTCACGCAGTTTGCCACTCACTGAGTGTTGTCAGAAGAAGTACTAAAATTACTAAAATTAATGTTAATTTTGGAAATAAACAATCAGTCATTTGAACTTTATTTTTATCATTCCCTCAAAGAGATGTCTATATGCAACATGTACATGAATCCTGTAGACAGTCAAGACAAGAAGATTTGTTATGTTTATGATGCAAGATACATTTTAAAGTCTAAACAACACAGTAAAACACCTCAAACTAAAAATGTCAGTAGCCCCTTATCCCATAAATGAAGATATATCATTTTCAAAACCTGAATTCACAGTACAAAAATATAATATGCCTTAAATAACTGGACATAATGAAGTCTATGGTTAACAGCAGATTTATGATAGTCTTTGATAATCCTTTCAAATTGCGAGTCCTTCCTATGAACTTGCAATACGGTTTGGCACTTTGGCACACCATATACTCACAGACTAGCGTAAAGTAATGCAGCCACTAACGCGACTATGTGAGGATGTAAGTCGAGGATTTATTTCTCTGGGATATCGAACCTTTGCTTTGTTGTGTTAAATGGCATTGTTTGGGAAGGATGATATTTACAGTTTACCCCGTCACGGCCAATTAGACAGCCTCTGCTGAAGTTTCAGTTGACACAGACATTGTTACTTTGGCTATTTTCACAGTGGTCTTCACGCAGCTCTCTGCAGCCCTGTTGGCAGAAATGTTGGCATTTCTGTTCTGGCAGTCTGACTCGAGGCTATTGTCCAACTGCTGGGCACTGCCCCTGCAGGCATGGCAGGAGGTGAGTAAGGCATGCCGCATGTCCTTGCTCCTCAAGGCGTAGATGATTGGATTGACAGTGGAGTTGAGCAGACAGAGCATGCTGCAGAATGCAAATACTGTCTTGATGTCATTGTCCATCCTCCAGAAGAGGTCATAGACCATGATGGCCAGCACTGGGCCCCAGCAGATGACCAGCACCGCCAGGATGAGCACTAGGGTCTTGGCCAGACGGATGTCCATGCGTGTCTGCTCAGGGCGTGTGGTCTGCACTTTAGTCCCGTCTGCTGAGTAAACAACAAGGCTCTTCTGGGAGGTGCGGCTGAGCATGCGCACAGCGTGATGGTGTGCTTTCCACAGGATGTACATGTAGGCGTAGATGATGAAAAGAACCAGCACGCTGGTTACACCGATCCAGAACAATAGGTAGTTCTCATCTATTAAAGGGAATATGTCTGAGCAAACAGAATTGAGACGTTTACAGTTCCAGCCCAGCAGAGGTAGCACTGCAATGACGATGGAGATGGTCCACATCACACAAAAGGCAATGACAGCCTTGGTCCGTGTCACGATGCGCCTATAGGCGAGAGGCCGGTGTATGGAGATGTAGCGGTCAATAGCAGTGAGGAAAAGGCTCCCCACAGATGCAGTGAACGACGCCGTGACTCCGCCCAGCTTGAAGAGAAAAACATTGGGGCTGTCCTTCCTGTGGAAAACATGGAAGTCCAGAAAGCTGTAGACAAATATGACACTTCCCAGCAGGTCAGCCACAGCCAGACTGCCTATGAAGTGGTAGGACGGCCGGCAGCGGAGGGTGCGGGACTGGAAGATGACGCAGAGCACCACCAGGTTCTCCAGTACCGTGAAGGTACCCAGAGTCAGAGACATCACAGCCACAGCCAGCTGCTGGCTGGGGGTCAGGATCATGAAACACTCCATGTCCATAAAGTTCTCCCCACACTGTATATTGTTAGTCTCATCTCTGAACGTGCTCCTGTTGCCAAACAAGTCTGTGCCATTTGTGGGGTAGAAGGGGATGCCTTTGAGGATGAGCTCCTCGTCTGAAGGTACTTTGTTCGGGAAGGAGTTGCTGCGGAAAGCAGATAAGGACTTCTGCAGAGAGAAACCCGCCTTGAAGTCTACATCATTGAGGGGGTCTTCATAGTTAGCGTCATTGGAGCCCAGATACTGTAAACCAGATGTAATAGTCCGGAAGGTGGTGTCCGCCACACCATCCAGCACAGATTTCATGGCTGTGTCTGAGGGAAATACTGCAGTCTAAGACGCCTGGACAACCTAAAAAATTGATGACAAATATTTCAGACACGTTTGAAAAAAACAAAAAAAGCATTTTAGCATTTACCTTTGATATAAAAAAAAAATGCTGTTCAACATGAGATAACCTTCAAATTATGCAAATATTTGGAAATCTTTGATACTTTTGCACAACTGTAGACGTTTGTTTTTAATTATTTTATAGAATTCCTGAATTGGGCAAAAACCACACCTGGTCTTTGAAAGCTGATGTACTTATACATACCGTATCATGCACCCTGTACTTATCAATACACATACAATTATAAATCACTGAGTGGTTTTCTTTTCAAGACATGCAGAAAACCTACATTTAAAACTGGAAACATGAGGCTGAGAAAAAAACCGAATCAGACAAAGCAATGCAAGTCCTTTGTACCTGACTGGAACACAATTGGAAAACCAGCTAATTACCTCTGTGTAAAACAATTCACAGTATATGCATGCTCAAATGTTGGCAATGTAATTTACTGTAAGAGTAAAGAGGTATTTAACAGCGGGATAATTGCTATTACATAATTAAGATAGGCAGAATTCAAAAAGTTATCCTAATATCAGGCTTTTTAAAAATATAGTTATCAGTGCAGGAGACTATATTTATTGTTATTGTGTTGGGTGCAAAAAGCAAAAATTAGTTCAGGAATAATATTTTTAAAAACTAGAAAACATACGCTTATGCTTGGACAAACAACACAAATCATATAAAGTCCAACTATATAAAAGAAAACAATATCAAATGCCGAAACTAAATATTTTAAAGAGGAAAAGTGGTTCCTTACCTTACATCATTTTCCAAGTGCGCAGAATCGCCCTTAACCACTGCGCGTTAATCCAAGTCAGAAGCGCATTATCCAACCAACACAGATCTTACATGAAAGGAGATACAACCAGCGTGCATGTGTTTAAATGTGAAAGCACTATTATCATCATAATGATTAGTTTCTTTTTCAAATGCTAACAAAAGTTGATCAGACGTCTGTGTGCGTCTTGTCGCTCTTGGAGTGCGCTCCTGTTTGGTGGATACAGGTTGCTGCTGCTGCTGCTGCTGCTGCTGGCTCCATCGCCTCTCCAGTCCTTTTCTCTGTGTCTTCACACTTATGAAGCGTCGCTCCGACAAGCTCCGTCACGTGTTTCCATAGCTTTATCTGCCCAACCCATGAGGCTGTCAAGTGCGGTGCATATGGGAACAAGGGAAAGGACAGTGGTGGAGGCTGATAAAAAGGATCTGATTTGAATTTCCAAAGCTCCTCCTATCAGACGATGTGCGCCACGGACAAAGAACCGGCATCACCACAGCACAAAGCACAAAAAAACTACACTACGAATAGCTCTGAATAGCCGTTTTATCGTCCCAATTCATAATTGTGAACCCAATTTCTACATTTTGCAGGAACGAAAAGCTGCATTGGTCCCATAAAATCTCCACATGAAGGCAACTTTTCATGTAGGCTTTCCATTCCCTTTGTGTGCATGCATCCAAAAGGCAGATGGAGGCTGCAGACTTCATTGCTTGTCAGTGCATGTCTGTTTATTGTGTGAATAATTGACTAAAATTGAAAATCTCAAAGAACAGAAAGCAGTCTTCCTCATTGTGATGTTGGCGGAACTCATGTTTACCTATTAAGTTGCTCACTTTCCTGATATTATGATTTCCTGAACCAAACCAATTATTTGGAGTACAAGTTAGTCTGTTTGTATTTGGATAAAAATGCAAAAGGAAAGTAGATTTTTAGGAGCCGAATACGTCATTTACACACCTACAAATGAAACGCAGAGGAGCTGAGCAGTGAAATGACAACACAAGATGATTCAGACACATTTTGTTTGTTTTTTTGCAGTTAGTTTTCAGCACATTCAATCAGATTACACATCACCAAATGAACGAGTCAGATCCTGCTATGAATCACAATAACAAAGATATGGCCTTTGCTTGGCCTTTATCAAAACAGATTGAATTCACTGATTACGAATGGTCATATTTACATGTTTTCATTAGGAAATACCCATGTAAACATTTTAGCAACGTTTTTTTTATTTCCTCACACAGTGGCAGAATAAAGGGTGCAGGCCAAGGAGGCAGGAGTTGAGTGGCTTCAATGTCGTAGATAAAATCAGAATAGACATTTCACGGCCACAGATTGCCTCGGCTGAACAGAACATGAAAACCTTGTGCCCCGTCGGGACTGAAATGATGAAATCATCACCATCACCATCATCATCACAGGTGTAATTATTAATATGGCTGTGGCTGCCATGTCTGTCTGAAATGAACAAAATGTTCTACTTCACAAAATGAGGAGACATTTGCAGTCAGGAAATTAGATAAATGTCTAAAAAAAAAACATACATCTTGATGAGTTTCAGGCTCATAGTTCTCTGAATTAATTTCCCATTTTTGGCAAAATTGTCTGCTGGCAGATTGTCAGTGTAGGCAGCTGAGTTAGGCTACTTGTAAATCGTCTCCAAGCTGATTCTCATCAATCTTTAGGCAAACTGAGAACGAACACATTATTTACAGTCATGATCTGCTGGGCTATACAGATAGAAGCTGAGCACACATACTGATTCAAATCTGAGAGCGGTCCTCTTCCTGGCTGATAACTGATTTTCTCCATCAGAGTAACTGGCAGATAAATGCCTTGTTCCAAGGAAGCATTAAAGGACTGTGATGAGAGAAACACCGGTTCACCTCCTCTCTTCGTGGCTTCTCAAATTGTACAGAAGCCTGAAGTAATGATGTTCCAGTCTCCAGTTTTCCTTTTCAGCCCTGGAGGGGAAACATCACCTTCAGACGCCCTTTCACCATTAGAGAGCTCCCGTCTGTGATGCTTCAGTGCATGGGAGAAATGTTTTGATCATGTGTTGTAGTTCACCTTTTCATCGTTTGTACCTTTTAGGTTTCGTGGCGACTTCTGTTTCCTACGTTTCTGGAAATGTCGGCAGGAGGGTGATGAAGTCATTTCATGCAATTAACTTTTTAATCACGTACGTGTAGTCCAGGCAGTAATTCAAATAGCAGTGTTTCTATGATTGCGTTCTACGTTTATTGAGGGTATCTTTTATGAAGAAATCCATATTGCTGCCCCACTCCATGATTGATTTCTCTGTGTATTATGTTTCAGTGTCTTTGTAAAATTGCAGAATTATTGAATAAAACAACTTTTTACAGAAGGACTGAAACTAACTATGTGTAGTTTATCATTGCAGTTACAGTTCACTCACAAATATACTATGTTTCAACTATCATGCCATAACATGCTAGTGCTACCAAATGAAAATGCTAACATGCTCACAGTGACAATGCAAAATGTTGGTGTTCAGCAGATAGGATGTTCACCACCACAGTTTAGCACATTAGCATGCTAAAATTAGCTATTTAGAACTAAATACAAAGGCTGATGGGAATGCAGTTAGTTTTGCAGGTATTTGGTCATGCTGTAAATCAAAGTATTGGACATGTTGAAATGCTGACCTATAATACAATTCATCAAGTAGGTGTTGATATATATAAGCCAGGGATCATCATAGTTTATTAAGAATCATCATCTGGGGAACTTGAATGTCTGTATAATAAATGAATGCTAATCCATCCAGTTGTTGAGATCTTTCAGTATGTTCCAAAGTAGGGCACGAACCAACTGACCATCTCGAAACAGGAAATGGAGAGCGCATCAGCAGCAGCAGTTCTTATACATTTGAAATGGTGGATTTGACTGAAGCTTGATTTTGTATTATTTGACAGCATGCTGAAATGTGCAGGTTATTCTTACATCTTACATGTCATTTTTACAGAATGCTCAATAAAGTATTCACACTCATTTGATTGACAACCGGCAACAGCTAAATGTTTCTGCCAGACTGATATATCTCTGGGGCCTGCAACCTACAATCCTCCCCGTCACCCATGTGCAAAGTGAGTGATTGCCTTTTATGTCCGTTTAGACATGCAGCACATAGAAATATTCACACATATGCCATAAAACAACTGCAAGAATGGTGTAGAATCAAGCACGATGCAGTCTTACTCCAAACATAACATGACATGACAACACCTGATAGCAAATAAAGAATGTTCCTGCAAAAACGTTTGAGCGTCATTTGAATTTCATCAGCTTATTATTCCGATCACAGTTACTGAGACTTTTGTAATATCCACCACATGGAGCAGTTAGAATTTAGGCAGCAGCGTTTGCCAAACTGACTGGTGTACTGTGACAGTTTTCTCTGACTTTGTTGGCACGCTAACCTGTGAGTGAGCAATGAGCGATGGCTCAAGCAAAGCTCACGGCCATCTGCGTTTTAGTTGTGGCGCACAACATTTTGTCCTCCAGTTACTCACTTTGAGTCCGGGGATCAGAGGAAAGAGCTCAGGGAGGGAAAGAAAAACTGCAGTCGGAGGAAGGAAGTCCCTATTCCAGTTGTAATCTGACTAACTATTCAGTGCTAAATGTCAGAATCCCAGTTTAGGTCTGTTTGGTTCACTTTATTGCCATTTGAGCACATTATTATGCATAGAGAGAAAAGTACCTCCATAAATAAATATTCATAAATATTCATTTCTGAATATGTCATCAACACCAGCTGTTTGTAAGTTCAAACACAGCCTATTATACAATTAAGTGTTTGCTAAGTGAAGATATATGCATCATTAAATTGACATGGAAAATGTAACAGCTGCATGGCTAACTGAACTAGCTAACTGGTGTGATAGGACATTTTATTGTGCTGTATGATGTTTCTACTTTGACTTGATTATACGCTTTATTCTATGTTTTACTTACTGTTGTAGTGTAGTAAGACAGCTCCCTTCTAAGGAAGGGACTGTGTGATGCAAGCATGTTTAAATTTGTGTATTCGTGGGTCTCTAGACCGTCGTGAGTGATGTTGATTAGAATAGATCAGTGATAGAAATTTGATGTATGGGGGTGCAGATATAATCAATGAGTTTTTAGCATAGAGGTGGTAAACCACAGGAGGTACATGACAGGATCTGTAGCAAATGGTTTATTACGTCTTGGAGAAACACACCTTGCCCCCTTCTCTCTTTGATGCTCTGACCCTTTAAAAGTGTACTCAAATGGGACAGAGATCACTCTCTCCATCCCACAGACAACGCAGGGGCTCTGTGTGATGATTGAGTCTTCTCTGCGCAGAGAATAAATACTTTCAAGGGTTTTGTTTTTCTGCAGGTTTCCTTATTTCAGTGTTATAGGACTCACTCGTATACTATTGAATAGTTTTTCCATCACACTGGCACAATTCACATGAGCTTGTTATATGAAGCGATGAATTGACGCGTTAGTTGGGAATATGGTTGTGACCTCTCTGACCTGACACTTGATGTCAACTGAAAAGACTTTAATTTACATTTCTAAAAAACTAAAACTAAATATACCTCAAATTACAAAAAGCTAATAATAATGTTAGATGTAATGATCAAATTATGTTGGTCAGTTGTTAGCGTATTTGTATATTTCCTACTCATTCCAAACTGCTTGAATAGGCTACAACTGACTTAAACCAATTAACTTTGAAACAGACAGATTTCTCCATAATGTGCATAAAGCAAAGTTAATGGATTGGCAGATACATTTAATATATATGGTTCGTATGGCCTCCTAAACTGCTATTTTTGGAAGTTTTGTTAAAGCGTGTTGCTGCAGTTGATTGCTTGTTCTTGGAAAGGACTTAGTGCACAGACTTAGTGAATGAAGTGCTGCCTTGCCTCACATGGTTCACATGATTACAGTGATGTTGGATGAGAAGCAGATAGGACTTCACTCTGGACTCATAATGCATTTTGCACTAGCTTCTCTCCCGCAGGTTGTTCCATATTCAAGGCTTTTTCAGGACGGAACTCTGGCTGTGACAGAATCCGAGCCAGAGTTTTCCAGATACTTCGCTAATGCATCAGTAACAACCTCATCAATATGAGAGGCCAGCTAGGGTTGAATTATCAAAATCTGTCATGAATTCCCACATTCATCTAAACTTTGTTTCCCGCCCGTACTCCCCTGATCTGAATCTTTAAATCGCTGCTCTCCTTGAGGAACATAAGAGTTCAGCTCATGCTTTTACTAAATAGGCTAAACCAGTGATTAAGTGTATCACATGGCCTGTGCATGAGTCAACTCAATCTGAAAATAGGCCACGTGTACTATAAGCAGATACTTTTGTCTTTTTGCCAGTAAGCAGTTCTAGCAACTAAGAGCTCATTTTTCACATGTGGCTCTTGCTCATAATTCAGTGTGAAAACTAAAGAGCAC